CGGCCGCTTTGTTACTTAGAGGAGGCTGTGAATTACATTTCTGATGAGCTGTACTTGCAGCTACGACTGACTATTAAAGCAGCTGTCACTCAACAAGCTGCTGTTTTGTTTTTTACTTTCGAGGAAGGCAAAAGTATGGCATGACTCTATGTGTGTTGCTTGGTTTTTCTTGATTCTTCAGGACAACAGCACCTGTTTAAGGCGTTTGATAAATTGGATGCAAGTGCACCATCAGCAAAACTGGTGAACTTTGGCCTTAGCGGGCACCACAGGGCGCAGCATGAGCCGCTCTCCTGCTTTATCACACACACAGTCGAGCGTCGGATCCAATTTGTCAATAAAATTAAAGGGCAAACATTAATTAGCCAGCCGTGACTGCATGCTCTTTTCCAGCCCGATTAAGCACTGTGTCACTCAGGCTTTGCTTTATTCCACTTTAGCGATCACTTTTTATTGCCTTCATATTGGTTCGGCTTTTCACCAACGGGCATGCTTTTACTTCCATTAGGGATGGTTTGATTTCGCTCTTCCAGTCGTAACGTCTGAACTGCATCCTAATCTCGGGCCCCGTACCGAAGCCCACCACGTTGTCCTTGAGCTCCAAGGTGGAAAAAAAAGATGTCTCTCCGGAGTACAGTGATGCTTCCAAATAAAGCCAGCTTGCTGTCAAGTGCAATATATCTCTGCAACAAAAGCAACATCTGTCTAATTCAACCTCAGCGAGGGCGCTCAAACGTCTCGTCTCCGCTCAGGTAGGAAGGTGTGTGTCAGGAAGGTAACGAGAACAGATGAGGGCTTCATCCTTTTAAATCTCAAAGTTATAGCCTTATTATGGGGGGTAATATGAATCGGCCTTCAGCAGGAACAGCTCAGCAGTATCTCTCACAGCGGAGAAGTTTGTCGTGCTTAGTAATGTCATTATGAACACAGTGCCACGGCCAGGAGCTTTTAACCATCTGCTCTGGGGTTTGTCTTTGCACAAAATGAATATTTAAAAAAAAAAAAAGCCTCCCAGTCTAAAAAGTGAAGCCACAAACCTGCATTCTTTATAATGACCAGCAGGGGGCGACTCATCAAGTTAAATTATATACAGATATATGAGAAAATGACTCAACTTCTCACTTGATTTGTTCCCTTATTAGATATTTTTCTAATATTTTTATGGTCTCAACTGCTAGTTTTAAGTATCCTTTAATACATCATGATGTTTATTTTGTCAATTATGATCCCATTTAGAGTAAAATACGTATTAATCATGTCTATCGATGCTTATGATTGGCTAACGAGTGTATGCGAGTCCTTGCAGCTATGACATAGCTCGGGCAAAATGTTCCCAAGATTTTTTTCTTCTTAAACAATTGAGGATTACATGAAAAACAAACTTATTATATTTGTATCATACCTCATGATGTACTTTTACACAGCAGTCACACCCACATAATCAAAGGATAATCGAACGTGACCAGAAAAATTGACTATTTGGCCGAGCAGAAGAAAAAAAACAAAGCAAGATCTAGTTCCTTTGCCACCCCAGTGTGAGTAATGGTCACGCCTATAAAAACTGTCTGGCTCCATGTGGATACGTCTATTTATTTTATGCAGTCTCTGGCCTGTAGTCCATTAGCACAGCATGCAGTGTTTATCTTTGTATATTTTGAGGGTAAAAAGGCTCTTTTATTTTGTCCACTTAGGAAGTCGCTTCCTTCTTCCTTCAATCCAATCGTTTTTGCTCATAAATAAAGCAAATACCACACATCGTCAGTGTAATTCTAAAACATCTGATCACAGCAATAGAACATCCAAAAGACGAATATTAAAGCTATTTGTTTAATTCAGCTTTACTTCTATCCTCAGCCTCTCCACCTCCATGGTGTTGCCAGACCAGGTTGCAGATTTACGACACAATTTTCACTGTTGCTATGATGTAATTGTTACTACGACATCTCTTTATAGCCCAGCTTTATGGAGGCCTCTCACAGCTCCCCTCGGCCGCCTCGACGGCTGTTTGACTTGTTGCGAACACGCCACGAGCTTCACCTGTTATTATTTTTACCTGCGCGCTCAGGCTGGCAATTAATTAAGGTTTGCAGCACTGGAGGACTCGTAGTTAAAGCCCGCCGCTGCCATCAAACTTGGCACTAAATTTTTCAGAATACCCCGGAGTGGCAGGGGAAATGGGTTCGTGCACTTCTAGACGAGGCCGTGGACTTAATGACTTTCACACTCACATGGCGGCGCCGCCTGTGACACAAGTGTTTCCGCGGTGTGCTGCGGTCATCCATTCACACCTCCGATGGTCCACTCGAGTTCACCGCCTTTGTTATATGGAGAGTGTGAAAAAAGATGACACCCGATGAGATATTAGCTTACACCCTGACGTGAGGTCGCAGGCTCCATATCATATTCAGAGTCTGTCTTTCACACTGGTGACCTACAATGTGCTGAGAGACTCATTAATAAGAGATGCAACCCAGTGAACTGCTGCCTCTTGACTTGCAGTGATGACATTCGTGAACCAGTTTCCTGCTTTAGGTTGAAACGGATGCACTGGTGTACAGATTTGTCCTGCTGTGTTAAATTACAGAAAGCAAATCTACAGAAAATGACAAAAAAAAAAAATTATTAAAAAAACAAAAAAGAAAGAAAGAAAAAGACTCTAACAGTCCTCGTCAAAAATCTATAATTTTATAAACGGTTCTTCTTTTTTTTTTTTTGACAAAAAACAGTTGACAATAAAATATTATTTTACACTTTTTTGCAAAATTTGAAGAAAAATTATGTAACTCTTATTTGAGAGATTCTCACTGTTTTGTTAAATTACAGGTAATATTTAGTAAAGTCAGAGAAAAAAAATTCATATACATAAAAAAAAGAAAAATGGGCCAAAGCTGTTCACAATTCAACATCAAAAATAGTTTTAATAGTAATTAGTTGGGGTTTTTTTGTTTGTTTTGTTTGTTTGTTTGTTTTTAACAATATGTGACTTTTACTGTATTTTACTATATTTTGTATTATTTTTTACTGGTTTTAAAGTTTTAAATGTAACAATATTCCACCGTTTTTTTTGTTTGTTTTTTTTTTATGTGCTTTTTTATCTGTTTACAGGATTTTACAGATTTTATTTTATTTATTTTTTACTTTTTTTTTGTTTAAGCAGTGTGCAGTAGAGCAAAGGAGGACAATTCTTTTTTAAATTATTTCTCTCTACTCATAATTTTTTTCAGCTACATTAGCACAACGCCCGGGGTTTTCCCTGCACAGAATTAAATCTTTAGGATGCAACTACATGTAACAGTAAGCATGTGTTACCTTATTTGACAGACATCTATGGATTTAATTGCAGTTGATGAAGAAAAATATGTAATATGCTTGAGTAAATGAAACTCCAGCTACCAATTCTGGTTTTAAAATATATATTTTTTTAAAGTTAGTTTTTATACTCAATTCTTATCATTTTGGGGCTGCTGATTTTCCTTTGATAAAATCTCTACGGGGGCACAAAAAATTCTTCATGCAGTCTGGATTGAAAATATCTTAGAAACCACCACACAGATTTAGCATTTAATGTGGTGTTCGTGCTAATTAGACAAAGGTCGTCATGAAACAAGCTAAGCTAACACGGTGAGCATCGTTCCTGCTTCGCATCAACATTAGTTTTAAGCACCACTGTGCAGAGGTGAAGCTTCACAGAGCAGCTACCGAGGCCTCGTAAGAGAATTCCTCTGATTCTGAAGTCTGCCAAAGTCGAGCCTGGTGCAGGTTTAAAACTCGATAAACACTGTGTTGTTGTCCTGAAGAAGCAGAGCGGTAGCCTCATGTCTATATGAACCTCTATAAACCCTCCACTCCTGCATGTCCACCTTCCTAAAATGTACGGAGGCTGTTAGTTGCCCGGGTAACCACCAGACCTGATGCTGTATTTCCCAGGTTACCCTCAGATTGTCCACAAGCGCGGAGTGAGAGCTCGACTCATGAGGCTCTTTCCATGCTCCACAACCAAAAAGTCGACCTCCAGTAATCAAAGCAAGTGGCTCTTCCAAGGCTCTTTCTCTTTCTGTCTCTCTCTCTCTCTGATGATTTGTTTTTTTTTTCCCATTCTGTGGTTTTCTTGGTGTTTGAGCATAAACTCAATATATGCTTTAGTCACAAACACATTTCAGCTACAGCATTCATTTTTAGAAATCTTAAGGGGAGCGCTTGTGCTCGTTGGACGTGTGGAGCGATGTGCTACTGTACGCTGGCTGTTTGTGTCGTCTGAGTTTACTCAAATCCACTGTTTACGCAGCTGTAAGTCTGCAGCTTCTGGACAAACGCGACGATGAAAACGAGCTCAAGCAGCTGTTTCATTTCCTCGACAATAAATCAGCCGACGTCGTCTATAAACGCTCGGCATTAGCGCCATAGCAGCAGGTTAATTGTGGTCTGTTGGAAGATTTGGCCTTTTGGCTGTCGGCCACAATAAGACTCTCGGAGCTAATGAGGCACTTAGACAGCGTGTCACACTTCAGGTATATGAGAGGCCCTGCGCCAACAAGACAAGTCAAATGCTGTGCCGCGAGGACAGTGCAGTCAGTGACAGTGCCCAGACAGCATCTGCCATCATTACAGGCCCATTAAAGCACTTCACAGGGTCCTGCCGCCCTCTTTCATGGAGAGGCTCTCTGCCGCGACCATTTGTTGTCTTCTGGGGTCTCAATAACACTAATTACCTCTGCTGTCTGTTTGTTGTAGAGAAGAAAAGGGCATTCAGATTTTTTTGTTTGTTTTTGTTTCGGAATTGACTCGCTCGAATGGATTTATCGAGAACGCGGCGCCGTTTCTTGGCAGCGCGTTTGGCATTTTGAACCGACAAACGTCTGAGTTTATTCGCTTAAGCCGATATTTGGAAGTGTGATCCAGAGTCCCAGCCTTAGATTTAAAAAAATAAAAAAAGAATGCAAATTTGCAGAGACTCTCACCAACATCTGTTCACATCTGACCTTCTCCCTCCTGCTCTCCAGACAGCGTTGAAGATGAGCTCGAGCTATCGGCGGTCCGCCATCGCCCCGAGGGCCTGGAGCAGCTCGAAGCCCAGACGCGTTTCTCCCGCAAGGAGCTGCAGATCCTGTACCGCGGCTTCAAGAACGTAAGTGACAAGGCCACCGTGCAGCCTCAGCGACAGGCATCACGTACAGCTCAGAGGGCTTGGCTCTCTCTTGGGCATCTCTTTGATATCAAAAACAACGTGTTTTTCTTTGATTTATTCCTCCACTATCTCCTCCAGTTTCCACTCAAACAGCTTCCACCTCTCATCACTCTTTTGCTGGTGTAGCAGTAAATAATCAAGCGTCCGAGGAATACGACTTTGCTGAGTCGTCTGCGCTAAATGTCCAAATGCCCAGGTGTGCTTAGCAGGGAAAACGTGAAATTTCCGTACGTTGTGGAGCGCGGTGGGGATAATTAGGTCACACCTCCAACCAACCGCGCTGGATTAGTGATGACGAGCGATCCAGGTTGAAGTCATCGAGAGCAGCCCATATAAAACCCACCTCACTTCGCTGTCACCTCTGGTGTGAGGCGTAATGAGATGACCCAGAATTAACCCAACCCAAATTGTCTGGCAATGAAAGAGGATACTGAGAGTCCTGTGATAGTGGAATTCCCATGAGGCTTCAGTTTCCTGTTGAGCCTGCACTGTGCTCCAGCCAAGTCCCTGCACCGCCGGCCCATTAGTCCACCGGAGACAGAGCGAGAGGTAAGACGTGTACTAATGAGGCCTTTAATTTGTGCCGCACACCCCGCCTGACTTCTCCCGACGCTCAGGGAGACGGTGTTGCATATGTTTATAGACAAGCTCCAGCCTTTCTTTCTTTCTTTCTTTTTTTTCACGGACTGATTTTGCATTTTATTTTAAGCCACATAAGCTCTGAAATGTCTCAACAGCTGTCAGAAGTTTTGCAACGAAAATTCCATACAGATGTTCATGGTGCCCAGAGGATTTAAAGGATGGACTGGATGAAGCTGTGAGCAGACATTCATGGCTTCCACATGATGAATCTTCCACGTTATGATCCCCTCAGCTTACCTTGAGGACTCACATGAGATGGACTTCTGTATATTTAAGTGCCGTTCAAAAGGAGTTGTAAGAAGTTTAAAGACCATCTTTAAGTTTTCATCTATTACTATCATGAGGCCAAGTTTTAAATATGTGCAACTCTTTGGTTTATGACATCATACATCCCATCAGCCTCATGTGGGTTGTTACATCCATACAGCCATCTCTGATTGGCCAGAAACTTCATTGTCATAAAGCATTTTGAAGCATCATTTCATTTAGCGACCAATTATTTCAAATTTAAGAGTATTCTTTATGTTTATAAGTTTGTATTCTTGAGATATGACACTAGTTGACTTCTGTTTTATCCTTTTTTTCTGTTAATATGTGCTCAAAGATGGAATTTTTCTTTTCTTGCCCCCTTTTTTTCCCAGTATATGTTTGTATATTTGAAGTAACCCGTAATCAGAGATTGTTTGATCTACTTGTCCAGTTTTGCAGATTCTAAATCGGTGACGTGATGAGAAATAACAGTGGAAGTTTCAAGCTTTTATCTTTAATATTTTTTGAGATGTAGCCTCAAATTTCAAGGCAAATCTGCTGAAAATGAGTCATCAGGCAAACTTTATTATCTTATTGTCTGAGAAAGTGTTTCAAATATCAATCTAACATTTCACACATATCTTTATGCTTTAAAAAAGTCAAATAAATCAGAGATAGACGTCCTGAGAGCTTCACTAAAAAGCAACTGGATTTGTTTTGGTTTTTCAAGAAGCTTCTTGGATGAGAGATGAAATGTCTCTCAACCCAAACAGAGAGATCCACTGACTCTTCACTGAAGCTCTGAGGATGTATGGTTAACATCACGCCAGCTGAAGCTATTAGCTATTAGCATGCGGATGTCGGTGTTTAACCCAACACACCGCTGAGCTTAAGTGCAGCCTTGAGTTGCCGCAGATTCCTTTTGTGGTTTGAAGAAGCTTCCCTTTGATTTACTCAGTTGCTCATCTCTGCCGTGTAATTAGACGGCTGCTGAGTCCAAAATTGGACAAAGAAAAAGTTACAGCGCTTTAAATTACAGCAATTAAACGGCTCACGTCCATCACCGAGTCCACGGAGCAGCTCATTTTTTTAACTGCTGGGGTCAAACGGCTCGTCTTACCCCAACCCGGTGACATTGGAAGAATGAAGGAGCGCTTTTAAGGCCAGCCAGACTAATAGAAGCTGGCCCGGTGCCCGTGATGAGAGGTTTGGCCCTTTGTCCTTGGTGTCTGGGGTTTTGAAGCAAATCAGATGCGTCTCATGCAGCAGCAGCAGCAGGATGAGCTAATTCCTCCAGACGACAAACTTCACGAGTCAGAGCGGAGCTTTCCCGTCTGAGATCCTGCCGGGTGTTTAACAGAGACCGACACATGACGTCTGGGTCTTGAGCAAAGGTCACCTTAAAGGAAGGGGAGAATCTATTGTTTCATTAATCCCTTGACCCCCGAGCTGCGAGACAAAACACAATATTGTCTCGGCGAATCCGCCGGCTTCTCTCTGTTCACAGTCCGAGGCGCTGACTTTAGATTAAGATCTCATACTTTCTATTCCAACAGTCATGACGCCTGCGTTCGCAGGTTTATTTCATTCCCCCACACCGCTTATTGCTGCATCGCTTCACGAGCCTCCGACAGGAATTTCATGCCTGGCCAGTTTTTTTTTTTGCGTTTCACAGATTGTATTTGTGATTTTATTATCACGGATGAGCGAGTTTTACAAGCGTATCGAATGAATACAAATACGTTTTTTTCCTCTGATCTCTCACTCCATCTAATGAGCACCGAATAATGTGCAAAAGGAGGCAGCATCCAAGGGCAAGTGGAAAATTATATCTTCATTGTTTATCATTCGACACGACGCGACGCTTATGATGTTCCAGTTGTTCTTTGCCTTCTGGTTTAGTGGCGCACAGGCAAATATATAGACGTGGAAAAATGTTTGAGGAGGAGCAAGCGAGCTAATGAATCACATTTAAATGT